TGTTCAGAAAATCGGAGGTGTGCCCATCTTCCTTCTGTTCTCCCAATGTAACTGCTCCCGCAGATACATGTAAATTTGTATACAGAGTTGGAGTTAACATGAGAAGGGTATCTGTCGACTTTTGACTGCACCAAAGAGCATGCTGTTCGATGGACGGGAACCAGCTTAGCTACAGGATAGGTTATGACAATGTCTGCGACGTGTCAGGCGATCCACAACGAAGAAGCCTTTGAAGTGAAGAGAGGAGTAAGAAAAGGCTGGCTGACTGCCTGACGATGATATTCCTAATTGTGGTGGACTGAATTATTGTGACACACCGTGTGTTGGAAGTGAGAAGACAGGAATACGTTGGACTGACTGATAAGAAGACCCTAGAAGATCTGGATTTCACGCGTGTGGATGATTTATGTTTAATGTTACACAAACTCGAAGACTTGAAGGCAGGCGAAAACCAACAAACTGGCTGAAGAAGCAGCCAATGGAGATAGGACTCCAGGTGATGAACATAGAGAAGCAGAGGTGATGAAGATAACCAACCAACCAACCAAACAGTAGCACCAATCACAATCAAAGGGGGAAAGTTGGACGAGGTTACTTCCTTCACTTATCTAAGAAGCATTGTTTCAACCACAGGCCAGTGGAACGGATGATGTCGAAGCCAGTCGGAATCGGAAATGCAAGGCAGACCTTCATCAATCTGAAATCGGTTTGGAAATCTTCCGCACTCCGACGCAGCATAAACAACAAGATTCGGATTTTCAACACCAATGTCAAATCAGTCACTTCTTCTATATGGGTCAGAAACTTGACCAGCGCGTCACAAGGAGGATTTCCAACAAGGCACTGCAGACTTTTGTCAACAACTGCACACTTCGCTGGCTCCATACTGAAGGTCGAATGGCCGGCGATCGGCCAGAAAGAATTAGCAACAAGAAACTCTGCAGTGGAACAAACCAACAGGCAAGAGCCGATTGCTCATCAAATATGTAGGAGAAAATACGTTGAGGAGGCCATCGGATGACATCGCGCTCCAGGCCACTGCTCGAGTGGGTTGTCACTTCGAGCATGACACTGAGGAGATCGTGTGGTGAGGAGGAAATGAGAGATTAAGGACAACCTTGGACCCAGCTGAAGAGGATGGCGGAAAACAGAAGAAAGTGGAGATGTGTTGTTGAAGCCATATGTTCTACTCGGAACCCAAGGGAATAATAATAACACAGGGAACTAATAAATAGGTGTATACAGTTTATGAATATTACTCTCAAGTGTTGATTTTCAGGAATCTGACTGATTGATTTCATGTGTGATCATGGATTAACATCAGGGAGTATTGGACTCTTCATCAGTATACATACACAAATGATCACACCGGAGGTCTAACACAGGACCTTCAGGCTACAATGTGAGCCCACTGACCATTCAGCCATTGAGACGAAATCCAATGACCGGACTATAAATCCCAACTTTTATGGATTCAAAATTTACAGCGCCACTGGCAACCAGTGTCATTGGAGAGTAGTTATCCTCACACCCAACCTTCTAGACCTCACTGGTCACGACTTCTACCTATGATAAATAATCTAATAAAGATAATGACTGAAGGTGAAAGAAAAGTCTCGACCGCTGTAGGACTCGAACCAGTAGCCCATGTAGCTACTAGATCCTATTGTGGAACAATTCAACACTAGCCGTTGTCTTCACTTTAACATAAGAAGTAGTCCCCAGTTGAAACGAGAATGGGGAGTGAAGAGTTGGGCATCTGAGGATGACATGAAGGAGATCATATGAAGAGGTTGTGCAGCCAGCTGAAAGCCAGTACAATGGGGCACGCAGCCAAAACCCTAAGTTCCATTCGGAATGCAAAAAAATGAATAATAATAATAGTACTAGGAAAAAGTGTATCATTCACTAAGTGTCAGCAGAAGGCAAAGCCTATTTCTAACTTTATGAACACAGAATAATGGATACCACCCATCTCCTAGTCTATCCCAGACCACCTGACCTACTAGAATGACGGGGAGTTTAATCCATCCTTTTGTCACATATAACCAGAATATTGTGAAAGACTGTACTATTGTAAGCGTATTCGTATTACAACAACAATAATGACATCATCTTTTGAATTTTATTTTAATGTTATTTTTATACTACTTATGAGTACCTAAAGTATGTTTGCAAAATTAAGTTTAGGTAGTACTGACGTGACTTGGATTTTTTTTCTGAAAACTGGGTCTGAGACGTAAACAGACTCTACTTCACACACGTTTCTGTAGTATTCTGTTCGCACGTTTTCCCTCGTAAGGTTAATAAGGCCTCTTTTGCTTCATTTAGTAGTATCCTTCTAGTATATTGCTGAATTCTTGTTATTAGAGTACACACCGTGATGGACATCCACCTAGCATGATGGCCACATTGCAAACTCGACTGATAGGATTCGGTCTACACCAAGCAAAGGACTAGACGCAAGACACTAGTTAGTGTCCAATGAAAATATTGTTGAATTACTTGAATTATAACGTAGGACAGTCCAGTCCTTAAGGAATAATTTTCAAGCTCTCCCAAATGTCTGTTCATTGAATTTCTATTTGTTGAGAAATAAAATCAAATTAATTAGGTTTTGTATAAACTTTAGAACAGTTTAGAGGTGTTCAGAGATTACTGGTAACATTACTGTATACTAAATCAGATTACCATGGAAACACACTTAACTCAGATCACAAGTTTAATCACGAAATGACATCAATTTGATGGTATTGAACAATCCTTTCATCCTAGTCTGGGATTCTTCAGCAGTCCACTGAGGATCGCACCCAGGACCTTCAGGCTATGAGACCAGTTCGTTGATCATTGAACCACGGAATCAATAGTACATAAGATCTAACTTGTTTCCACTAGTGACTGACAACCGGATGCGGAATTCCTGGAAGTTTGGAGAGGAAAAGTCATGAAAAATGGGGTCCAGTGAGTCGAATGGTGAAGACAGACACCCACCAATTGCACTGGCGCTATATATTATCGCGAATCAACACATATTAGTACTTACGGACCATTGGACTCCATTCCAGTAGCTCACTTCATAGCTTGAATGTCCTGGGTTCAACTCACGGTGCCATTATGACGGTGGCATACTGATGAAGAGTTCCTAACCAAGAGGAAACAAATTTCCCGTTCTATTTGGTTTTCAATGATCCTCTCTCTCTATAACTTTAAAAAAGCATTCAGGATTAACAAACCCACAACTCCCTAGATAGAAGGAATTGGATAGCTGTCTGTCTGTCTGGATTCAACATAGAACTTGGCACCGAAGTGCAGCAGTTCCAGTTGCCACGTTCCAAATAGAACACAAAGGTAGACAAGAAGATGAGTGAAGAGAATCAATAGAGTTTTGACAAGTATAAGAGTGAAACAGAATGAGTAGTGGTAGAAAGGAATATGAAAGATTACACAAGAGACTGAATACATCTGCGTAAGCCATTGACAACGATTTTCAGCCATGTCACCTATTGTCTGTCTCCAGCCATTGATTCTTAGAGTCCCGAGGGCGGGCCCCAACCCGGAAGACTGCATCTCCCTCCCTACCTGACTCAGTTTAATTGTCAAGGATTTCATGGATTGATGAGGCCATGTTTTTGTTTAGCCACCACTTACTATTTTCTAACCAACAACACCTATATCAGCTAGTAATGCCCGTCCGTCGGGGGAGGCGATGGTTAGGCATGCGCACCACGTGACCTAGCCATCTCAATCTATGCAACTTTATAGCCTCTTCGATCGATTTTCCCTCTTTGCCCAACACTCTACGCCTAACGTCAACATTACTTACCTTATTATACCACCTAACGCGAGAAAGAGATCGTAAACATCTGTGGTCAAAAACAGACAACCTTTTCATGTCTTCAACTCGTATTGGGCATGTTTCAGAGCCATAGAGAAGGACGGAGCGAACTGTTGAGCAGTACACACGTCCCTTGGTTGATAGCCTGATGTCACGCCTACGCCAGAGACGGTGTAAGTTATCGAAAGTAGACCGAGCTTTTTGGATCCGTGCTGAGATTTCGTCACCAATCAGTCCGTTGATGCTGATACAACTTCCCAAATAGATGAAGTGGTCAACATGTTGTATAACTTCACTCCCTATCACTATCCTAAGCTAGGAGTTGACGAAGTCCAGTCCTGTAGCAGCATCTTACATTTTACAGGGGCGAATCGCATGCCAAATATACGAAGATTGCTGCTCAAGGTGTTCAGAAGATTCAGCATTTTGTCAGCATCCCCCCCTAACAGGACTATGTCATCTGCATATTCTAAGTCTATAAGACTATTCCCTGGTAACAAGTCGATTCCTAAGTCGTTAAGTTCAGTTAAGGATACTTCCATTAGCATATCTATGATGAAGTTAAACAGAAAAGGGGAAAGTGGACATCCTTGACGGACACCACTGGTTGTTATCAATTCAGATGACAATTCCCCATAAGCCCTTACACAGCTACGTGAGTTTGAGTAGAGTGCCTTGATTAGTGCAATGTACTTTCTTGGCACTCCCTTCACAGTCAAACATTGCCATAGTACCTCTCGATCCACGGAGTCGAAGGCCGCCTTCAAGTCAAGAAATATGGCAATTGTTGGACGCCTAAAAGTGTGTCTATGTTCTAGGATCTGTCGGAGAGTGAAGATATGATCTATGCACCCTCTACCTGGCCTAAAACCCGCTTGGATAGCAGCCCATTTGAGAAAAAACAAAACAAATCCAATGCAGCAAAATTACAGGAGGCGTTACATGAAAGTAGTATAACATTCATTTCAATAATCCTTGAGCCACTAAGTCCTACAATCATCTGGCTTAACGAGGTAAAGGAGTGCATCTGCTGGCCGGGGATCGAATCCCGGATTGCATGAGGCGTGATTGGTGAGCATTCTATCGCTGTGCCACCAACACGCACGTATTAATCAGTCACATCAACCAAATTTTAATGAGAACCTGCAAAATCAATATAATCAATTCTTTTTCTAGCTTTTGTATATTTTTGTAGGAAAAAAGAAAGTAAAAAAATAATCTATCTACAATAATGTAATTCAATATGTCCTGTAAACAGAATTACACATGTCCATAATACAGATATATATATATATATATTAATTGTTGGACGGAATTTTGAAACCTTTATGAACAGCAACAATACCATCTGAGTAATTTATCCAGTCAACACCGGTAAATCCTGATTGTTCAATTATTTCAGCAAATTCACTTTGATCCGGAAATTTACGAATACTTTCAACTAAGTATTTATATGAATTCCAATCGCCTGCAACAAGTTGTCCAATAACAGGAATCATTTGCATTGAATAAGCGTCATATATACTGGAATAAGAAATAACAATAATAATAATTATAAGTTGTATGTTAGTTTGTCAGAATGACAATTTATATGTCACTGCATTACTCTCAACCAGTTGTGAGGGCTAGTGATACTGTAGTGAGAGCTGTCTGCTAGCCAAAATTGGTAGACAGCGCAATTTACGTCAGTGTGTTTACGTCCCAAATCTCCTGGTCTTGAGAAAAAACAATAAAAAGTTTAACCTCGAGGAACTCAACAACCGATCACAGCAGACTTTGCGTGGGTGGATGCGATTCGCAGATGTATGGTCTGATCTTCAAAAAGCAGTAAGAAAACAACCAATCAGAAGACGGTGTTTCTCTGCCAATAATAATGTACATAAAAATCTATAAATATCTGTTGGTTTTGCTCAATAAACGATCTGTTGCCTGACTATTGTCTTCTGTCGTTACAATGCTACCTGGCTGCCAAAATCTCTCTAGATGGAGCGAAGTTCGAGCCCGTGACCCTCTGAATGGAAGTCGAGTGTTTAAACAAATGAGCCACAGATTGTTATATTATTACGACTTTTAGATGTTACCTTTAAGCTCTACATAGTCCCAGTTTACGAAAAATATTTTTTTTAAAACAGCGTTAGCATTATACTATATATACATCCAGCTGGCTATCGACCAAAGGGCGGGTGTACTGCTTATCAGTCTGCTCCGTCCTCCTTTATGGCTGTGAGACCTGGCCATTGAGAGTGGAAGACATGAAAAGGCTAGCTAGTTGTCTTTGATCATAGGTGTCTGCGTTCTATCTCCCGTGTGAAGTGGTATAATAAGGTGAGCAATATTGAGGTTAGGCGTCGAGTGCTAGGTAAGGAGGGGAAATCAATCGACGAGGCTGTGAAATTACATCGACTGAGATGGTTAGGACATGTGTTACGTATGCCTAGTCATCGCCTTCCTCGAAGAGCAATGTTAGCTGATATAGGGTCAGGCTGGAAAAGAGCTAGCGGCGGTCAAACCAAAACATGGCACCAGTCAATGAAATCTACAACAGTTAGTCTAAGCTACGTAAGAAGGTGTAGACTTCATGGTTGGGGTCCTCCGGAAGGTAAAAACCAATGGTTGGAAACAATTGGTGACATGGCTCAAAATCGCTCCCAATGGCGCAGATGCATCCACTCCTTGTGACTTATATTACCCAATGAAACTGTTTTGTTCTTCGCACACCTTCCTACGTGGCTTAAACTAACTGAACTACTGAGCAGTACACATGTCCTTTGATCGATAGTGGAAAATCATGTGTATGCCAGAGATGACGCAGGTCAGTAAACGCCACACCAGCCTTTTATATCCCTGTCGAGATTCCGTTAGCAAACAGTCTATTAAGGCAGATGCAACCTCCCAAACAAATGAAGTGGCCAAAACGCTCCATAACTACAGCTGAGCGTGACGTTCACACATACATATTGGAAAAATGCACTCAACAAAACAAAAAGACGACTAACCTTCTAAATATGCTGTTTTCAACTTTACTGAATTCCAAGCAATAAAATCGACCCCAAGGGCGAAGAACACGATGAGCCTCTGCAACAACCTACTAAAAGCTTTGAAGAAATAATAAGCAAACCTACCTTATCAATATACGTGCAGTTACGTATACCAAACGCGATAGTGTATACATCAAATGAATTATCATCAAATGGAAGATTTTCAGCATTCCCCTCAACCCACTGTACTTAATAATAAATTAATGGAAATAACTGTATTAGGAATAGTAAACATACTATTTTTAAAACCCAATTCTTCTGCGCGCAGTTTCCCAACTTCCATCATCGACGGATTAATATCACAAACTGTTACTTCAGGTCCCATAATAGGCGGATTCAACTCAGAGTTCTCGGATACATTAATACACTTGGCATATTTCATGATTCTAAAGGCAATATCACCTATAAGCAAATATTGTAACTAAAAAACCATATAAATGATTTCAACAAACCTGTTCCACCTGCAACATCTAAACACTTCAAATTATTTGTTGGCATAATCTGACTGACAAAACAATCTTTCCAGAATCTATGCACACCAAAACTCATCACATCATTCATTAAATCATATTTTTTAGCTACATTCTCGAATACATGATTTACTGTGTTTAAAAAAAAAAATAATAAAAAGGTGACTTTCATGTTACCTTTCGACTGTTTATCTTCTACTGGTACTGTTTCAAATCCAAAATGTGTAGTTGACAGAAGATTTTTGGGCTTATATAATAATACACTGAGATTAAAGGAGGCTTTTCGAGCAACAAGTGAGAGGGCTCTCATCTTCCGTCATGCAGATAAAAACGCTATCATAAAGTAAGTAAAAGCGAAAATTGTACACCTGATAAGTCAGCAGGGTTGAAACTCACAGAAAATTAAAAAGGTATGGCAGTATACAAACCAAAAACTACAATAAAGTGGTGTACGGACGTGAGAGCATACATCAACAAAGTGACTGAGACTTCTAAGGGATGAGGATGGAAACGTCTGAAACTCGGTCAAGCACCATAAGTGATTACGCCAGTTACCAATATCGAGATGATAAGCACCCATAGAGTGTTTTTTGGCACTAAGAATTGATTTTTCTTTTTGAGTAGAAAACACTGCTGAATTTTAGTGACTAGACGGTTTAAATCTCTTCTCCCTGTCATACCGTAGGCAGAGAGGAAATTTAATCACAATGTTTAAAATTTTAAATAGTGACTATGGACCTGACCTTTTCTCTCTTTTCCTGCCCAACAGGTCGGAACACCTTAGAGGATATAGCAGAAGAGTTCAAAAGTCAAGAAGAAATCATACTGTTGTTGAGTACTGGTTCTCACACGGAGTCATAAATCCTTGGAACCGACTCCCAGAAGAAGTGGTGTCTGCAACCTTAACTGATTCATTTAAGAAGGGTTTGGAAAAGCACAGAAATTTACTAGAAAAAGATTAGCATAGGCTCCAAGCCTTCTATCCGCAACCAATAAATCTGAATCTGATGAATAGAAATAACTTAGATTGGAACCTGGTTTTAGTCAGAGGAACCAAGATGTATCTGTCTTATGTTAAGTCTAAACGAAAATGGTGTCATAAGTACACATCACACCCAACAACTAATTACGATTACTTGGGTTAAAGTGTCTTTTATCGTGCCTGCAGCTCACTTACATGGCTAGTAAGAATAGTTTAAACTTCCATCGACTTACTAGTGTTGATAACTGAAGATGTGTTGACCAAATCCATCTTAGTTAGTTCATTTCGTACACTAAACAGTGATACATTAATTTTAACTAAAAACATTTGAGGGCAATTTATAACTATAGTTTCGGATGTAAAATAGAACCTTATTGATATCAAGTTTACAAAATTTTTTAAGGTCAGGAACTTGGCCAAAGTGCTGGTAAGCCCAGAGGCATCTGGTATGATTATCAATTGATATAACTGAAAAAATATATGTGCCAGATAGCTAACTATTTTGTTAACACCTTAACCGCATCGTCATATGACATTGTACCCAACCACATAGGATGCATATGAAAAATGGTAAACTTCCAAAATTCTCTTGACAAAAAATCATCAATTACAAGTAAACTTCTCATTTGAGTCCTTCTAACATTAGATGATATCATCAGTTTTAAGATGATTTACTGAAATCATATAAGATTAGTACAAACGAAAGTATTTGTTTCTCGGCACTTTGGTGTCTGGTTGGCTACAACAATTACCAAAATTTTAAAGATAGTGCCTACAGTCTCTTTTTGGCAATTTTACTACCAAAAGCTGTCCAGAAACACACAGTGCTAACCAGAAGGCAAGAAGTAACGTCTAATTTGAAAAGCCCACAGATCTCAGGTTTTCTGATTTATTGTTTGAAGATAGAAGGCTTGCAGCCCATGCTAATCCTTTTCTAGTAAATTTCTGTGGTTGTCCAAACCCTTCTTAAATGAATCAGTTGAGGTTGCAGACACCACTTCTTCTGGGAGTCGGTTCCAAGGATTTATGACTCTGTGTGAGAATCAGTACTCAACAACAATCTGATTTCTTCTTGGCTTTTGAACTCTCCTGCTATGTCCTCTACGGTTTTCCAATCTGGTGGGAATGAAAAGAGAGAATAGATCATGTCCGCAGTCATTATTAAAAATTTTTAGCATTGTAAGTAAATCTCTCTGCCTACGGTATGATAGGGAGAAGAGATTTAAACTGTCTAGTCTTTCCTTGTGTGGTAAATTAGTCATGCCGAGAATCATATGTGTTGCCTTCCTTTGGACCCTTTCTAGAATGTGAGTCCCTTTTAAGACAAGGACTGGCTGCCTGGATACAGTTTGCCAGTCTAGACCTCACCAGAGATGCATATAAGCAAGTCAACATATCTCTGGTGATTCTATTAAAGGCTCTGAGAATCGCCATAAAGATTTCAAACTACGTTCAGTCACCGTGCGACACTGTGTTGTACCTTTTAAATCGTGACTAACTATGACACCTAAATCCAAATGAGTCTGAAATGATGGGAGTGTTATTGCCTCTAATTCGTAGGAGCTGATGCTTGCGTGTCCGATGCTCATGGTTGCACATTTCGCTACATTGATTCGAAGCATCCATTCTCTGGACCACGCTGATAATTTATTGAGGTCTTCTTGCAACGTGAGCATATAACTGTCGCCCTTCAGCTCTTTCCAGATTTTTAATTCATGCGCATATAGAGCCATAGGGGAATCAGTGAACAGAGATAACTCACTGATATACAAAATTAATAGAAGATGCCCGAGTACCGTGCCTTGTGGCACTCCAATACACACTGCTATCCATGAGGAGAGTTTTGAGTTGATCCTAACCCTCAGCCTCCTATCTATGAGGAATTCCCTAAGCCAGTTTAGTAGGCTGCCTTTGATACCAAGACTTCCCAACTTCATGAGTAGTCTTTGTGGGGAACTTTATCGAAGGCTTTGCTGAAGTCTACGAAGACGACGTCAACGGGTCTTCTGTTGTCCCTTGATTTGACCTAGCTTTCGCTTGCAGTGGAGAGATTTGACAGGCATGAGAGGTTTCTTTGGAGGCTATGCTGTGCTCTGGATAAAAAATTGTTGTTTCCCAGATATGCCATGATACTTTTCTTGGTGATTCTTTCCATTGGCTTGATTAGAGTGCTTGTGAGACTAACAAGCCTGCAGTTTGAAGGGCTTTGTCTTGATCCCTTTTTGTGGATGAGGGTTACTCTGGACTCTTTCCCCCATGCGGTAACACTCCATTTAGGAGAGATGGCTTGAAGATTCTTTGTCAGTGGGCTGGCTATGTGAGCTGATAGCTCCTTGAGGAGCTTGGTGTCTTGGTCGATGTCAACGGAATCTACCCCATGTTCCTCTGGTGCAGCCGGAGTTGATCATTTGAAGAGTGACGATTCCTGTGTGATGACTTGGGAGAGGTAGTTTGCCATGGCTTCTGCTTTTTCTCGGTCTTCTTCGTTTGTGTCATCGTCAGGCTTAGGGCACCACTGGATCTCCTATTCCTGAAGTTCATGTACGAAAAAATTTTCCAAGGTTGTACAGTTGCATTTTGAGACAGATGCATTTCGTACTTCATCCTTGATTGGCGGATTTCTGCAATGGCTTTGTTCCTAGCTGTTTTGTATAATTTTCTGTTCTCGAAAGCCTCAAGTGTGCCAAACAGGTTCCAACATTTGTGTTAACTTCTGAGCAACTGACGAATCTCTCGGTTTATCCAAGGGGCAATGTTTCCGACCCTCTGGGACAGACTAAGTGATAAAAGGTTCAGTTACTTGGGCATAAAGTTGTTTAAAATGGTTCCATGCGGCTCCTACTTGGGACTCTGGGTTTATGTACCAGTTCACTGAGTTGGCTGCCGAGCTGGGCTTTTGGCCCATGATACTGATGCTGCGAACTTTAAAGTGAGCACAGCGTGGTCACTTCTTCACAAAGGAGGAAGATGTTGTATGACATCCACATCCCCACCATGTGAGAACAATAGGTCCAGAGTTGAAGAGGAGTGCCGCGAGTCATAGCGCATGGGCTTAATGACATGTTGAACTAAAGCTACCGAAATGCTAGATTCCAGAAGTTTATGATCAAAGGAGTTGTCTGAAGATGTCGTCGTGAGGCTTGTACAGTAAATGTTACGGGTTGAAGTCGCCGTCTGCGAGACTTCGACATTTCGATGTTCAGGAGCCTAGCTTCTCTATTAGGAAGTCGTCTGCACTGCAGTCAGGACTGCGGTATATGGCAATGAGGTCAATATCTTGGCCTATTCATTTAATTCTGTAGCGTAGAAGTTCGCGCGATTCACTTTCGTGAGCGAGTGCCTCAACGCTATGGATGGCTAAGGATTTCTTGAAGTAGATGACTACGCCACCTCCTTGCGGCTCCGTCGGTCCACCCTATGCACTTCGAAGTTTGACAGGTTAACTTCGTTATCGGTGACATAGGGTGTGAGCCATGTCTCCGTGTTGATAATTACATCTGGATTCCTGGAGTCCGTCATATAACCCACCTCGGCTTATTTGTGCTACAGGTTGCAGACACTTGTGTAGCAAACTATCATTTCATTTTGGTGCTTCCGCGGCCTACTCACAGAGGTTTCAGGATCATTAAACTTCAAACCTTGACAACCCTCTTCGGTGTCGTCCGCTTGATTATAGAGCTGCAGACTGTCTTTTGACGCTGTTTGCTAGGCATAAGTCAGCACGGACGTATATGTGTGATCCTTTAGGAGTTTGAGAGTTCCTAGGAATAGCATCCCTCTCTTCTTTGGAGCTTAGTATGACTTTGAGAGGTAAACCGGTTGATTAACTGTTGAGTCAGCCTTTTGGCCGAAATTTCAATATCTTAATCACGATTTAATATACGGTATGCTAAAGCCAAGTCACCGCTTCTCCTTCAGTATGATAATGGACTGATTTAAATGCCCCATCCTCTTATCATTAGGAAGGTGTGAGTTGCCAATGACTCATTTGGTTCCTGCTCTCTGTACTTTTTCCAAATTACGTGCCTCCTCATTGAATCATGAACTCACCGCTCTTATGCAGTATTTCAGATGAGGCCTTACAAATGTTGTGTACGGTACTTTGAACCTTGACTCATCTGATCGTCCGAAAGCCCTTCGAAGTGCTCATTCCGTTCGAAAAGCCTTGGCTGTGACTGCATTGCAGTTTGTAGTTGTTTTCAAATTATTCCTTACAATAATTCCTTAATCACTTCGTCCGTTAACATTTGGCATTTCTGTGTCCCACAGGGACACAGTAGCTTGTAATAGTTTCTTGACTCCTTGGAGCACACTTCTCAATGTTTCTGGAAGTTACTACAACTTGAGAGATTCCAGAGCAGAAAAAATCTCTTCCCGATCACTGTAGCCCTGCTTAACACAGGAAATAAGGGTACGGGTAAATTTTCAAAAAGGTGCGTGACTTACTCTCTAATATGGTAGTCAAACAAACTGGCCAATGTCCTGGATGTTGGTGGCAACTGTTTAACTGGTCTATGACACTTAGGGTTCTTGTAATATCTCCTTTAAAAGCGGTATAGCTACTAGTCATCTAGAAATGGCAGATTAGTGGGAGGCGGGAGTAGATTCGCAGCTTACAGTTTGAGAATCCCTGACGTTATACCGTCACATCCCGGTAATTTCTCTGAATGAAGTTTTGGCATTTTCTCCAGCAACATTACTTTTAGATGTAGCAGGTGGAATACAATAAACGGTAAATGACTAAGTTACTTCCCTTGCCATCCTTTCAAATAAAAGTAACCTGCCCAAACTCATTGCAACACGTTTGGTAAATATATCTGGCGGTGCAGTAATTAAGCAATTTTTTACAAGGTCGTGATTCCATCATCTTCCCGTCCAAAAACCGCTTTGCTATGGGTTTACTACTTCGTTAGATAGACACTGCAAAAGAGGTGAGGCAGGCAGAATATACTTAATAATTCACCACAAATATCTTGTTCGCCGCAAATTCACTTTTCTGTGGCGACATTAGCCAGCTGTATGGCTAAACTGTGACAAAACCATGTGGAACACTTAGCAAGGAAAATGAAGTTTTCACTACAAACGAAGGACATATGAATTCCATTTCATGATACAACAACAGTTCGTGATGTGTCTACTAGTTTCCACCGTCCGTTTGTTACATGAACTTGTCGCAGAAATTCATTTGAACACTCACGCTCGTTGTCTTATCTGGGAGTATGTGCTGTCAAACATTCCAGTAATCGCCTCATGAGGGCGAGAACAAACTCTAACACTCGGAAATGGCCTCGAGAATGCTGCCAGTATCAATGCTTAAGAGTGCCTAGATAAACTACCAAACGACTACAGAAATTCCATCTGTCAGATAAACGCCTCCATTAAGGCCACACAACTATTGTTGGACTGAGGCCACCACCAAGAGGCTTCACGTGCATTCTTACGCAGATAGGCAGAATAATTAGATGGCCCATCACTTCACCACTAAATGACATGTCCGCGGAAAACATTGCCTTAGTTTTAATATGCCGTCGAGTATCATATTACTATCACATAAAAGACTTTGTGAGACCCCGTCTAAGTTTTAAAATCCCATGATACCATATTTGGCACGTATTTTATGTGATGCAAAGTGTCGGGCTAGAACTAGCAAACTTTATTTCCGCTAGTAAGTGCACAATTTTCTTTATGCTTATGCCACCAAGCTTTACTGTTATTGTTCTCCCTTTATTTATTGTCTTCTCATTTCTTTTAATTATTATTCATGAGTGCTAAGATCGTCTAAGGTCTGTGAAAAGTCACTATTTTTGTTTTACCCCTCACCATTCTACATCATCAGAAAGTAAGATTCAATGCTCTGTAACATGCTAAATATTTCCATACTGTATCGACATTATTGCCTGATACATAACCACTGTTACTGTTACCATTGTTATTATTATTATTTCCTCATTCTATACTTTGCACATTTTTGACATTACTTCTACTGTAGATGTGGACGAATTCCTGTGGTTAATCTTATTATTATTTTGAGTGAATTATATGCAATATTGCTACAAATGATGAAAATTCCCTGCAGCATTATCAGTACTACTTTTAAAACAAAGCAGATTATTATGTACCGTCTACAGATACACAGAATAAAGGATCCCAATTTTAACCAACTCTATTTCGAGAATAAGCGGGAGTCCTGAAAGGTGAACAACGTCTACATGACTCTATGTCCCGTGGCAGCGAATGGGTTGTTGGAAAATTTTACAGAAAAATGAAAATCTCCCCGAAGGCACAAAAGGAGAAATCTGAATGAAGTGGGCATCTACCTGTGATACTGCTACTATGCATTGGGAATCGTTACTTCTTTTGAAAGGGACCAGGTGAATTCGTGAATCCTCCAAAGCATTAGACATCACTATAAAGGAAGGTTGGAAGGGTAAGCCCGCTCAGCTTGCTCACTTTACTAAATTAATTCAGTGAGTGAATCGGTCCCCTCAAATGATTCAACAGGCATAAATATATCACAATTCATCGTCCAGCTAACTGGAAAATGATGTAACTTCAGCAAAAGGTAACTTGTTATTCAACACAAAAACAGCAGGTTAGGTTGCACTCTGAGACTCGCACACTCCGTTCTAACAGAGTAGGCGATATCAGGAAAGGACTGTGGCCTTCTTATGAGGAACCTCTACTTACTCCTGGTCGTGTTTACGAATGCTCCACAGTTATTGAGTTAATAAAGTAGAAACAATTAACTGAATCAAACCAGCAACCACAGATTATACACTAATCCTGTGTCCGCCTAGTTGCCACTATAATAATTGATCCACCTTATAAAAGCTTACAGGAAATTAACACAACCTTTCCAAATAGGAATCAGACCAAACTTTAACGCCAAATAGCTGTATATTGTAGCATTCGCAACAACTGTGACGCACTCTTTGATTATTTTATATAACCTCCGTTTACCCTGATATTGTGAATCCCTACCAAGTCTAGGTCCAACAAAGAGGTAATCGCTAAGATGCCGTGTAGCACATGGGTCGTCCCTGAATAAATGTGTTTTCTCCCCTTCTATAAAACTGAGTTGTCTGTCAAATAAATGTTCAGAAGTTAACATCTACGACTTAAACTACACGGTCTTTGACTATTTCATTTTCTCAAGGATACTGGTTAGTGCACATTTTTAGGGGTGAGTTTGCAATTTTCCTCCGCTACTTCGCCCGGAATTTTCCCATCAAAATTACACACCTTATGGACTCCTTATAGCTAAGTGTGTTATAATTTGACTCCCTTCAAAATCTCCATTTGTATCAGGGTATCATACTGCTATTGAGAAATCTCCTTGAACACCATTATGGTCAATGAGTGGTACTGTAGGGGATCAGAGAATTTCGCCAAATTAATCGGACCTTCAGCAGTCAGTTTGTTTATCTGTGTAGATATGAACAATAGAGGGACAACTGGATTCTCAAAGGACAAGAGCTCGGCAGCTCTGTTTTCGTACGATCGTGTATCTTAACAATCTATTCAGATCACCACTAATAAGTACACGTTTCAGCAGTCTTAAGTGTTATATTATCCCTTCGGCGGTTGGGGCGGTGTTTAAAACAATCTGGCCGCCTGGCTAAGGTGTGCCAGGCTAAACAGTCAGAGGTTAGTGTGTCCAGAGCCCAGGATAAATGGCCGAAAAACAATCGTGAGGTTATTTCTAGTCGGAATCAACTTGGAGCCACCTCGAAGTAGTTCAAACAGCTTAACTAATTGGTTTCCCAGAGTACTTCGTGGACAGAGAGACTGGCGACAAATTTTGTCTCATCCGTGAGAAGTTGGCCTTGACATAAAAAACCTGAGAGGAGAGCTTCTAGGAGACTCATTAGTTAAACTCCCTGGGAGCCCTAAGCTGAATTTTTGTGGGCGCTAAATATGAATAATGCTCCTGATTGTTGTCTGACATATAAGCTGCTAAAGCTGAGGTTTAGCCACACAAACAGATGACATCTTAGCCTCTTTAACTCTCACCTGGTGGCTGGGAGTCGCCTGACGAAGTCTGGATGCCTTCCTCTGCGACCCCCTAACGGATATAATTCTTTGCATTTTCCTAAAGATCACTAGTGTTGATTGAGTTCAGCATGTTTCTATCATGCTTTGTGTATTTTTTGAAATTTTTTTCCGGTGTCTGAGATGTCTCTGATTAGTCCGCTTTGATCAAATGTCTTTTTATCAGTATTGATAACGAAACCTAATTCGGTGACTGCCGTATTAATTCTTGGGCGTTTTGCTGAAATGACATAACGAAGAATGCCCAAATTATACTAAATATAGCTTTCAGGTGAGTTCTGGTTCTAAATCTCTCAACTACCTGTGCACGAAGCATAATGTTTCACTGATGTTTTCTGCATAACATATGCAGTTGGGTTTGCGTGGAGTAATCCTAGCAGTACTCCACGGTCTGTCTCCAGTTTCACTCACGGAAAGTGACTACAAAATAGAGAGTAGGCAACTTTCTAAGCAAAGTATTAATAAAATAAATAAAGCAAGTTAAGTGGTGAACAGTTATAGATCAATCAGTTATCTGGGGCCGTAAAGTAATTCCACTATCCCCATTGCTACCCCCCTCCTGTACCATATTATATTCCATCTCATTTAATTTATCCTTATCTTGACTGATTTTCATCTGCCTACAGCCCAAGCTCATTTTTAATTTGTTCAGAGGACTACCTTTTAAGACGGCAACTGACAATTCCAGGAGTTAGGCGGTCTCAGAACAAACCACAAACGTCAATTCGCCAAATTAAATCAAATGAACCATAAGAGGACAGCGTACAGATTGCCTGATTTATTGTCCGCCGACGATATACAACCGTCGTTTGATATAAATATTTGATTGCAAATACAAAAACGTCCCTATAAAACCTCGCTCCTAATATTTGCATGTTGAGTTGAAACTGTTTCTCTTGTCATTTTATCATTCTTCCTCAAAAACAAAGATATGACGTTAATCACAGCATATTCGCAGCTTCACCAGAATCCACAAACGCCTTCTCAGAAAAATATAAAACATTCTACAGCCTTCGAGATTTCAGTAAGATGGTTTAGTTATGGACCATCTAGGAATCTGCCAAAGATACAGAACTCTTTTGCCAATAAAAAGATAACTACAAATCATTTTCGCTTATTTTGGCTTTAAAAATGCATAATAGTCGTTAAATAACACATAATGTAACGTCTAGTACAGTTGTGTTTAACCACTCTGATTTAAATTACTTGACCTTGGCCGACATTCAATATAAGTTCTGAGTTCATCGTGTTAATCCATGTCGAACGTTGATGAATCCATTTCAAAATATGGCCCTCTCTTCAGAAGGCGAATTGGTAATGGATTTTGAAGCAGATTTCAGTAGTAGTGGCAGCGAATCTTCATCTCTGTATAATTCAGACTCTGGAGTTAGTGTAACAACACCCCCATCATGTAGCACATGGTCAGCTTGGGATCCTGAGCATCCAGATGATACAGAGGACATATACTTCGACCTTACTCCTTTTTATCAAGCACATTCCTTTACTGTAATTCAAGCCATTCACTGTCTCTCCGATAAAGATATTGATATCGTCCTTAACGCATCTACGTATTTGTTTCACTTATGCAAAAATGGATATGCACCTTTCATCAGTCAGATATGTCCGGATATTCTATTAAACATAAAAATTCCAGTGTTTTGTCCTTCCTCCAGCAAGTATGTAGATGTTATTCATTGTATGAGTGGTATAATAAACTACTTTTCACAATGTCCAGAAGGAATAAATATGATACTGCATAGAGGAGGACTTGATATCATAAATGGACTACTCCTTTTTCCGTTTGAATCAGTGTTATATTTTTGTGTCACCGCTTTACATAATGTGCTACTAAGTCATGAATCAGCCAAAAGTTTTATTCATCGGACATGCATTTCAAACCGCTTAATTAATCTTCTAAATTATTCCGTGGAGCACAGTGGGTTGGATATGTCAAGCTTGCGGAAGTCATCCATAAACTCCGAGAAAAGCATCAACCCGAAATTTTCAGCAGTTCTTTGTGACTGTTTGTATATATTGGCATATGGACATGAAAGTACTAAACGATCTTTCAAGGAACAAGGGGGGTTATCTTCTCTTCTAACACTAATCACAGTGTCAACTTATGAAAAGGTTTTGTGGACAGCTACTAGACTTCTTCGGGTTCTGTCTGCCTGGATTCCGGTTAAGTGTGAAATAATAGCTCAAGACCCTTTCCTATGTTTCTTCTCGCATTGTTTAGGATGCCAGTCGTCACGTGTAGTTGCAAATGTACTTTGGACGATGAGGAACCTTTCTGATATTGCTGTAGATAAAATTACTTCGGATGTATCTGTTAATATTGTGAGGCAATTACTTTCTCTACTGAAATCCAGTACCTATGGTGACAGTTGCGTAAAGCATTATTCTTTCAATAATCGAGATGACTGCTCCGTTTTCCGGTGCATTCTCGGAACATTAGCCAATTTAACATGTAGAAATAATGCTGCAAAGTGCTATGTTGTCCGAGTGAGTTAATTTCTTTTAATTTTTACTTTGAATTTCCCTTAAAGATGTTTCTGGCCACATTTACTATGAGGATGTTATACATTTAACACTGAGCTTAAAATAACAGCTTTGTCTAGGATTAACGTTTTCAATTTCAAAAACATAAGTAATCTGTTTTTCAGCATCAGATATGGTTTACTCATTTATGACTTTCATTAGGTTTCATTTTTCTGCCTATGAATATCGTTACTTTTCAATCTCCATATATTTTTATTTTTCGCTTTAATACCTGAGTGGCCTAAAAAATTTAAGTAGCTTTTTTAGACCTTGCTAAGAATGAAGGCTTTCACATTTACTCCACAGCGGTTATGTTGCCAGTTTATCGAACTTTTACTATCCCTATACAATTTTTGGTAAAATTTTTATTTATTTTTATAAGATTCTGGAAGTTATTGGGGCCCCTCTTTGGTATTACCTTCATGTATCTACCCACAATACAGATCAGTACTTGGGAATCATCAAGCTTAACTTCCTCGCCAGTGTCTTTTTTAATGCTGGTTGAATGGAGCTGAGATATATTTGAGCTATATTTTGGATAACTGGCTTAAACCTACATCCTTCCATCCTATTAAGACAATCAGATGACAGATACGACTGATAAGGAAAAGGTTTCCAAATTCGATCATTTTTATGTGTTAATTTTTTAGCAGTCTGTTCATGTCATTTATCGATAAAACGTGTAACAGGCTGGTTTACTGTCATCTGAGCCCTCGGTTATTTTTGGTTTATATGAATGAGAAAAACTAATTGGAATTAGTACCTCGCGGTTTAATTTTCATAGTTTTAATAAAGTATCCAATCACAGTAAGTTAGGAAAATTCATCCTATTCCTGTATTTATTAATAGCATATATTTATACTCCAAGTGGTGTTATGTTACTGATGCGGCGCGTTCATACACATAATTCTGATGTATTTCAAAGCTGCTTGGTCAGAAATTTCGGCTAAGAACCTACTTTTCCTAATAGGTCTTACGGTTTTATTTGTGATAAAAAGCAGGTCACATAAATTCCCTTAGGGATGCTATTGATTAGTCGCAGTACAAGATTTAAATACATCAATAACCATGTGCGTTCATACTTTTCTCTAGCTATTGAGTAAGGTTTTATTGTATAATACCGAGTGATACCGTTTCATAACTAAAGCATCACTAAACACCAAGGTGCTTAAAACAAGCAACAAATGTAGCTGAAACAGGATTCAATGTATTCATTAAATTTCAGTTAACTTCTCTCCTTATCCCTCACACACACTCTGTTATGTATGACATGTAATATGAGCAAAATCATGTCACAAACAAATCACAGTGTACTAACCGTAGCTATTTAAAGGCAGGATATAATCGGTGAAGTAAAGACATTAAGTTGACAGCTTAATTCGAAGGGCTTAGAGTTCAAATACATCGCTATGGCAACAAAAATAGTTATTAACCGGATAAAGAATGTGGAAATATTAAGGACTTTGCGATGAGAGTGATGACAATAATAATAAAACTTTTAACTAATAAAATGCGTCGGTAGCACAGCAGTAGAATGCTCGTCAACGACGCATTTAGTTCTGGGGTTCGATCCCCGGCCACCGACGCACTCCTTTACCTCGCTAGCTAGTAAAGAGGAGAGGTTAAGCATGCGGCTAGCAACCTCATTCCGTAAAAATAAGTGCCGGTGCTACCGAAACTTCAAAGCTGTAGCTTGAAGCCCTATGCTCCACTGGGAACGTAAAGGAATAAAATAATAAAATAAAATGACTTACGAGCGGATGTCGAAGTCAGACAGAGGTATAATTCCCTTACATTCATATGATAACTGTAGTTAACCTAAGTTGACAAGTACTTTACAACTGTATCCTAATGACATCCGTAATAAAAAATGATATTTTTGTTGCTGAATACCTGAGGATTTTTAATTCTTTGTGCTGAAATCATCTGTATAGGCATCTAGCCATTCGAGTAGACGGTCGTCTCTCCTTATAAGCTATACAGTCAGTAATGTCGAGGAATGAATGAATGAAATGATACGACTCAGTCATTAATAGTTTTTTCTCTGATAAAATAAAACTGGATAAATCAACGATAGTATAGATGAGACAAGTTTAAGCTGCAAAATTACTCACTGTTTTAGTTGAGAACTATTGATTTTATTAAATATGACTGTTTGAATGTTCAAATAGAAACAGTTTTTTTTTTGAATAAGGACCCCAATAAATAAATTAACCATTCACAGGGAGTTCTACATCAAAAAGTAATTTTCGCTTGTTTCAGAGATGTAGTTCATTGGCTTAAACACTCGACCTGCAGTTAATGGGTCAGAGGTTCGAGTCCCGCTTCACCAACCTCTGCCTGGGCAGCTAGATAGTATCATTAGCCTACACAATAAGTATGACTTATAGCCCAGTACCTTGACAAGACATTTGAATAATAACTAAACTAAAACCAAGTTTCCAGTTGTAATCTACAGTTTCGTAATTCTTTTAAACGAATTATAGTGTTTGCGGGCTCGCGTAGTATTGTCAAGTAGTTTATAAAGCGCTGCCCTTTCGTAGCTATAAGTAACTGATAGTTACTTGTGGTTTTCTTAAACACAAATGTGTGTCCATTTTTAAGTTATTTCAAACTATAGTGGAAACAAAATGTTCAGTCTTTGTTAACGCTTTAGTGTTTGAAACAATGGGTTCTGCGTTCGAGTCTAGGTAAGTGAGAAAATCACTCACTGAGAATGTTGGTGCATCCAGTTGATGAGCCCCAAATAGGAAGAGACAGGCGTCCCCTGGATTTCTACTGTTAACGACCAATAACAAAATAATTAGCGATTATTAATCCTCGTAATACTGAGGCATCCACCCATGGAGTACATATGTCGAAATAAAGCTGATAATATATATATATATATATATATATATATATCACCGTTAAATCACAAATGTCGGTAAATAATCTCATACACTTGTTAATTAAATGTAGAACTGGTAAAAATTGAACTATAACTCAGTGAATTATGCATTCAAATTTCAATAAGTGTGTTATGTATTTGAATAAAGCAAGAACAACAACAGTGGTTTTTGTAGAATAAAATGGTACCATCCTATGTTTATTTCGTTGGCTTCTCATCAGCTGCTTGCAGGCCAAAGGCATTAATTATTAAGTATATCTACAGAAACAATTTTAACATAAAACACAAAATAATTGAGTAAAGAATATCCCCCTTTCGATAATTTCCTCTTCTCGCTCTACAATTATATATACATATGTTTATATACATAGAATATTCTAGAATAGTAGTCAATAACAATATTAGTGTTTTTTAAATAATATCGATTTGTAAAGTAAGATCAATGGAATTAATCACAGTTCATTAAAGATGCTTAAATTATGATAATAATAATATAATAGCAAATAGAATATCAACTAAAATTAAGGAAATTTCCACAAAAATTGAGGATCATTCAAACCTAGATGGCCAGCGGGGTAAGGACAATTTCTGAACTAACTTCTTTTGGACACATAAATTAGGCTTCTTAATGTGGATCCCAACAGTCAGCCTCAGCAATATTTAGTAAACGAACTCTTAAGGCGAAGTTAAGATTTGTTGGTATGCGGTAGAGATGACTTTGAAAGCCGCCTCGTTCACATCAATCTTGTGTTTTGTATCCACAAGATGAGATAGAATAGCGCTATGAATAGATTTTGTTTGTCCTTTACTTAACCACAGGGTGATGTTCGGAAATATATATATATATTAATATTAAACACTATTCTGAACAATAATGGTCATACACAATAGAAACTTTCGACATTACGTAATCAGATAAAAGAGAGGATGAAAGCATCCAGTTACCAGACAGGGCAAAAAAAGACTGATAACTGCTTCTTTCTGAACGCATAAATCAGGTTTTAGGCGCTTGATGGAGATGGCTTCTGTAGATATACTTAATAATGACTTTGACCTGTAAGCAAGCAGCTGAGTTGATGAGAAGCCAACGAAATACACAAAGGATGGTACCAATTTATTCTACAAAAACCACTGTTGTTCTTCTTGCTTTATTCAAATTCATTAAGGGGAATAAATGTATTATGTATTTTCAGGTATTGCTTTTGTAGGGATTTTGTTTGATTGCATGGAGGATTTCATTATGAGCTGACATCAGTTAGAGAACCATTGGAAAACAACCTGGAAGTACTGAACAGCTGGCTGTTTCGTCCTAGTTTGGGACTCTTCATCAGTACGCATCAGTAGGGTACAGCAGGTTGAAGATGAGGCAGTAACTTATCGAAGAAGACATTGCGAAACGGTCGTGCTATGTCATGCGCGAATTGGCAGAAGTTAGAATTCAAGGACCATTGGATCGGGTCCCAGTGGCTCAATGGTCTACAAGCTCGCCTTGTAACCAGAAGATCCTGGGTTCGAACACTCTGTGGTGGGTGCGTACTGATGAAGAGTCCCAAACTGGGATGAAACGGCTGGTTGTCCAGTACTCCCAGATGGTTTTCCAGTGGTTCTCTAACTGATTTCAGCTCATGTTGAAATCCTCCATATTATGTATTTTATTGAAAACTATTCTGCCTATCGGCATTTTGAAGGTTAAATTAATGTTGTGATTAACTCAATAGCCTATTATGCCTTTAAAACTAATCTATTTTCAAACAAAAATACCGTTTTTTTTCTAACATCATTTTTCGCTTCAAATAAAATTTTAGTTATTACTGGATGATCAGGATAAAATCTTTCAACTTTTTGTTTGCTTGATTGAGCATGTTGCCATTGGGTGTACATATTAATACGGTCGACTGGTTTCAAACTAGACTGAAGCAGCTGTTCATTGATCTCCCGGTTGTCATTGTTGTTGTTGTTGCGTAAACTGATGCAATTGTGTTGTGCTCAGCAGTCCACTCCCTCCTCCTTTATGGCTGGCTGTAAGTGAGACATGGCCATTGAAAGTGGAAGACATGAAAAGCCTGGTTAGCTG